GAGAGGTAATGACTGATCATCAATAGCTTCAATAGCTAGCTGGGCCCTCACAGTGAAGCTGAAGCGGTCACATACCCTCCAACTCTAAACACAACCCAGAATGTAGGCTTACCAGTGGCAAAGGCAGCCATTGGTCAGGATGAACTGACAGCAGCCTCTCTGATCATGAAAGTTATTCATTACAGCACAAACACACAGCCTATAGAAATCTATTCACGCATGATCCATCAGGGAGCCGAGCTACCCCGTAGTTTGCGCCCTGCCTACAATGTCCACCATCAGATTCCCGTAACAGGAAATAACGTTAGTCTTTTACTCATTGATTTGTTTTTCTGGTGCCGAAGTGTTTCTCGTTGTTGGTGAATTAAAAAAACAAAACACCACTTAATTTCGGATTTAAATGCGTTGTTACTGAGATTGTGACGGGTATAATATTACCGGTTTTCTTTTTTTAATGCGTTATATTACTACGTTACAGCAAAAAGAAATACATTACTGAAATTGAGTTACTTTTGTAATTGCGTTACTCCCAACACTGCTTAGCACAGACACAAAAGTAACATCATCTGTTCCATCTAACTCCTGGTCAGACAGCGAAATGAAAGCTCACTGGATTAGTAACTGTAAAGTAACACATGCATTCCAGATTGTAATCCCTTACAATACAACAAAATGAATCACATTACCGTAACACAGCCCTGCAGGATAAGTAGTCAGCATAAATAAATGAAAAATACCGTCTCACATTGTATTTCTTAATGTAACGTTCCCGGATTTTTGTTTCGGTCAATTTGTCTTTGTCTATAGTGGAAGTAGTGGCATGTGTTACAGTAACTGGCCTGTTTCTTTAAGGAAACTACCCTTCTTTAAACATCTGCATGGGTTAAAGGTTAAGTGTAGTCCCAAGATGTTTGAATGCACTGAAACAGCCAGCACTGCTTTGGGCTGTAAGCCTGTACAATGTATCACCTGGTCGGCGACACACACAGCGAATCTCAGCTGTAGCCAACAGCCAGCGACCTGCTCCAACCTGTGGAAACATATATGACTCTATAACGGAAGATTCTGCAGGGAACACACGCAATGTGTGCACTATAATTACACTCAAATATCTAATTACCCCAGAGTATATATTGTTTGGGAAAAGGCTAGTTGAAAAGGGGTTCAATATTAAAGTTTAACTCTCAACTACTAAGCTTGCTCCCTCTCTTGCTGTTGCTTATTCAGGGCTTTTCTTTTAGTAAAGCTTCAGCTGAGTCACATTTGATTTGTACGCACAAGATTGTGACCAAAACGGATCAGACGTAGCTGAGCACGACTTAGTCATTCGGCCATTATTTAGATTTATTTAACTCCGGCATACTGAGCTTTGTGTCATCTGAGGTAAGAGCTTTGGGGCGAGGCTAGGAACAGAATTACCAGTTTGTCCTCCATCTTAAGAGTATGCACAGAGTGTGGAAAAACAGCCTCTTCTTCCTGCTGCTGAAAGCTAAGATTAAGTCACAACCTTTGGTCAAGTGTCGATAATACCACAAAAGCAAAGCAAACACAATGACAAGGACTTAAGTCTGAATCTTTATGCCTTTGTAAGCATCCTCTGTACGGACTGTCAGGACGTGGTGATGGACTCAAACTTTTCCCAATCTGGCAAATTCCCTTTAACTTATTAAATCACATAGCCTGATGCACGTATGACTGAATAATGACAAACAAAAGAATTAAGTTTTTTAAAGAATGATCCTTATTCTATTAAATCTCTGACAGCACAACAAAAAACATGTGTTTGGCTGGGAGAGCCTTTCTCTGTTCTTCCAATGTGATTATTTGAATGTTCTTTGACAGTGTGACTGTAGTCACTCCCTGCCACTCTGCGATTAGGGATCCCAAAAACACAGACAATCACCCAAACATCCTCTTCCCATTCCGTCACGAGAGACACAGAGAACTCCCTTCTCGCTGCTAAATATCTAACAAAACTCTGAATCGGGCCCTTATGTGCGAAGCAGGAGAACAAATGAAACTTGAAGCGTTCAAATTCAATTTGCCATTGTGGTTGACTTGTTTGTTGTGATGAAATTCCGCTGTGAAATAAACACAGCTGGGGAGATTAAGATCTACTCAAAAATATATTACTTCTGTCGCAGGAAATTAAATTCCAAATACGTCCTATTTCGTGTGACATGCCAACAGTGATGCAAATAAGGTTTGTTATAAGTTAGAAGATTTCCAGGGTGATTTCTGATATTTAAACTCAAAGGTAATAAGCCTTTGAAATTAATCAGTGTCACAAATAATAGAAAAACGAAAATATCTGCAATCCAGCACATAAAAACAAAAAACATTTTACCTTTCCAAATAGTAATTACCAAAAATAGTTTCTACACACTGGAATCTCAGATGGCTGGGAATTGTGTGTGCAACGTGTGCATCTGTATGTGTGTGTTTGTGTTCAAGAGGAGAGGCCAAGGGAGAGGATGGCCATGTGAGGCAGGAAAAGCACTGGTGCACAGAAACAAACAAACAAGGCCCAAGCAGCGGTAATTAAGCCCTCATTAGTCCTTGTTATGCGCAGGAATGCAACGAAGCAGCAGAAAGCGCTGCTGTCATTTCTGACCGACAGTAGCCAAAGCCCGGAGCTGGTGTAGACCCCTGTTCTGTGCAACAGTAGCTGTTTACCCAGAAGCCCACTATGTTTCCACCTCAGCTGGCACGTACAGGGTGATGAGTGTTCTGGATCAATTTTGTGGAGCATGGAGGGGGGCAGGAGGCCCCTCGGCCAATAGCTAAAGGGTTGGTATAGAGCGGTTGGCTCTTGGGTGTGCGGCAAATGTGCTTTATCAAAGGGAAGCGTGAGGCGCACAGCATGTGCTTTCATGTCAGTTCAGGGAATCTGGACAGGTGGCTTGACCAAAGACAGAAAAAGTGGTCACATGCAAGTTGGAGTTTGAATAAAAGACAGAGGAACAGCAAGGTGAGAAGTGAAAAAGGGTTGCACATTTAAACATAAACCAAAAGGTGTCAGACAAGATCACTACAGAACAACACCAGATGGAGAAAAATAAAGAAAAAGACACGAGACTGAAGGCAAACAAAAAAAAAAAAAAGGAGGAGGTGAGGCAGAAAGTGATGGACCCAGAAAAGAGTCAAAACAAGCTCAGGGAGGAGAAGGAACAAGGGCTGCACTCAGTTCTTTTATTCCCCGCTCCCCTCTGGCACGCAAAGTCTCATTTACCAGCTCTGTAACTGCATACACCTGACCCAACACATCAGCATAACATCCAGTGGGCAAGTTGCACGCACACACACAGGCCCTTGATATCATACCTGGCCCTACTACACCCATCAGCAAATGCAGCGCTCTTAATTTGATTCAGTGAGATCGCCACTTTTTACTGAGAAACACAGCAACACAACTCCTACATGCTCTAATGATGTTTATAATAAAGGAGCAAGAACAAATAACATATTTGCAGCCAGGAAAACATTCCATCATCGTCACAACAAAATCCAAAGGACAGGTGGAATTTGACGAGGCTTTAAAAGCAAGCAACACTGGCCACTCTGACTATCTCTAAAACCACAGGACACTCCCTCCGAGCAGCACACATAAACTGACCAGGGATTCAATCCACCCACGGTGCCTCACCCACAGACACACAGAACCACCTTTTACAGGGGAAGGTCTTGGCACCTGTTGCATTTGAACAACAGAGCCTCAGTACCTGGGAAACCAGATAACAGCGGTGGTTAAGAGCTTTCGGTGGCTCTGGCTGTGTCAACAATGCCCCCCCCTTCGCTGCCTGGGCACACACTTGTACGCACATGCTCAGACGCACCCACACACATATAGCATGGAAAACCATGCACTTACTCATCCACAAATCACACTCGGAGACCATGCCGAGATCCTGGGATTTTTTTTTGGTCGATCGGACAGGAATCTGTCAAATGCAGTATGGAGCTGCTTTCATCTTCAACCTCATTATGATAAACAAACTCAGCTTTATCTGCATATCCAGAATCCAGGTTGAAGGTCTGCCTTTTACGTGCTGTGTAAACAGAAAAAGTTTAAACCGTTTGTGTGTTGAGATAAGCGAGAGATGGGTTATGTAAGGACATTCCTCACACTTTCCACTCCTCATTTCCTGGGGAAACTGGCAAGTGTAGCACTTTTTCAGGGCCAGAGTAGAGTTTTCCCCTCACAGGTGTGATATGGCAGTTGAAATCCACCCAAAAGCCATCTGTCTGTCTGAATTATGACTGTGGGGGTGTAAACAGATCTAGTCCAAGTCAGTGTCTGAGCCCTCCTCTATTATCCTCTATAGCGCCATTCCCAGACACACCCTTCTCCTTGCACACACACACACACACCAGATCATATTCAGTATGTTCACACAATGTGCACTTGTGTTAAAAGAAGTGTGTTTATAATGTATTTCCAGTGGAAATTGTCAATTGAGCTCTCACCTACGTCCTGCTCGACAAGTTTTTAGTACTAAAATTGTAAGAAAGTGTTCACCTATCAGCATATCATGTTTCACTGCCAAGCCGGAACACCAGAAGAGTGCAGGCGTTCAAACACACACACCTCTGCAGTCAAATATGAATGCAAATGTGACTTTCTTGCACACACGCACACATTAGAGTGAGTCCTCATAGGAGTTTGTGATGCTAATGTGTATGAAACAACTATCTTTAAACCTTGAAGGGGTAGGAAACACTGGATCCGCCATTTCCCATTATGCAACTTGAGAGTATCTTTCATTAGATGCTCTCAAGTTGCCTCCTAAATGGCCACTTTTTTTCTAACCCCACGCCTCCAGTTTGTAGGCTGACTCATGCTTCTATTAGTTACAATTATGTCTCCAGCCTAATCTGCTGATGACATCATGACCACATCACCAGCCCTTATAAGAGTTTTAAAGTGCTGAGTAGTTAAAGTTCCAGCACTATTTATTTTGTCTTTAAACATAGAGTGCTACCACACCATGTTCCCTCACCTGGAAGATGAGCACTTTAAAGTGGTTCCTCTTCAGCAGGTGGCTGTGGTTTGCCTCCAGCTTCTTCACCTGGACCGCCTGTTTGTCCATGCGCTCCCTCACATCCTTCAGGTGCCCGCTCACTTTGCGCGAGCGCTCGAGCAGCTTGCTGACGCTGTTGGATGTGCTGATGTGGGTCTTGGACAGCCGGGTCACGTCCCCCTGCACGACGCGCACGGCGCCCTCCAGGTCGGCCTGCCGCTGCTCCATGCGCTGCTGGTTGTCCTGCACCGCCTCCATCATGTTGACCAGCTTGTCCAGCAGCGCCACCACGGTGATGGCGCTCACCTGGCCGCGGTCGACCGGGCTTCCCGGCGCGGCCGCGGTCGGGCTGGTCGGGATTTTAAAGCCCAGCCGGGAGAGGGTGCCGGTCGGGGTCGGGGGAGAGGGGGCGGACGACGGGATGAGGATGTCCGTGTTTTCGGACTGCTGCTGCTGCTGCTGCGGGATGGCGTGCGTGCTGCCGGAGCCGCTGCTGCGCTCGGCGTGAGACGCGTCTTCTTCCATGGTTCACAGGTGGTCAAATGTCCCGTTTTAATGGGGGGTAATTTACCTAAACACAGTTAGTAGTAGTTTCACTAACTCTGCGGCGCTGCTGTCACTTGCTCCAGCTGAGAACTGAAGGCAGGTTTCTTCACTTCTTGGAGTTGATTCAGCATCCACGCCCCTGTCTGTCTTTTTCTGTCCACACGCACAAGCACAAACACGCTGTGAACTTTCAAAACACCTCCCCTGCAAGCCAAAGGGAGGGGCGTGGTTGCTATGGAAACCAGGCCTAGCCCTATTGACAGAATAGAGGTAGAGTTAGTGTGTGTGTGTGTGTGTGTGTGTGTCCTTCCTTGTATGCCTGCTCGTTTTCATGTGACTGCCAGCCATTCCACTTTGTGCATGCCTGGCTGCATTTGAAAAATATATGTGCAAAGGCTACTTTTGTTTAGGCCTACTGCGTTCGCTGGTGTGTTTTGTATTGTTACAAATTGTAGCCACTAGACTGCATTGTAATCGAGAGATGTGTGTGTGTGTGCGCCCAGCAAAACAATAAAGTAAAGATAAAACTACAATCCAAACCAGTAGGCCACTGTTTCTTGTGTGTTTCAGGAACTTGGATGAATTCTCCACTGCCATGCTGTTGGCCGAGATAAATCATGGTGCATATTTTGTTAAATGCCAAAGCCTGGTGTATACAGGTTATGTGTTTCACTGTTAGGGTGTGGATGTGTGAACCATATGAGCGCCCCTTTCCTCTCCCCTCTTGTTTTTGAGCTCTGTGTCGTGGCATGGGGCAAACTGACATGGAAATGTGGAAGTCCCTGTTTCAACAATGAGCTCATCTGTGCCCTGGCATGACGCCCTGGCCTCACTCTCAATCTTTTAGTTTGTCACAATCACCGTAAATATTTCATCCGCGGTAACACAGTCACTCTTTCAATCTAAGATTTGTCACAGTGAAATGGTGTTCAGCAGGAAACGTGTCAGTGTGATCATGCAACAGGAGTGCCTGGATGTCCGTGCATTTTATCTGTGTGATTAAAACCTACTGTATTAGAACAAGAATCTTTTTTATCACTGCGGTGGAAAGCATTGGAGTCCACACCTAAGTTTTATTCGATTCTGCCTGATACGGCAAAGGCTTGGTCAGCCACCATCTCATCTAAGATCAATACAAAGTATTCCCACCTTTAAACCGAGATTAGGCTCTCTGCAGCTGCTTTTATGTACACGCAGAAAAGACACACCTTAGAACAGTATAAAAATATGTTGGCAGAGTCCACAGATCCAGACCACATTAATAAAAGCATCTGTTTTCAAATTGTGTGGTTATTTCAGTGTTGACTTGGAGATATTCTTACAAGTTTTGCTTCACTCAGATTTGCAGTAACAATACAAACATTTCTGCTAAAAGGATTATAATAGTTCCACATTTTGGGAAATACTGTATTCGCTTTACTGCTGAGAGTTAGATGATGTCCGTACATTAAACATGAAGCTACAGCCTGTAGCGTAGCACAAAGACAGCTAGCCTGGCTCTGTCCAAAGGTAAAAAAGCCACGTACCTGCACCTCGAAAGATCGCTAATTTTTGCTTTGCTTATATCTCCAAAGAAAACCAAAGTGTAAAAACAAAGCATTGGGGTTAGGGGAGACCGGGTATGGTTGTAACAGTTAAGCTAAAGTTCTCATACTTTTATACAAAGTACCCACATTTGTTCACTACACATGGCACCAATTCAATCCTCTACACGGATATCACAGACCTCGTGAACTGATGTCAAATACATTGTGTCGGTTGGTAGATTGTAACAATAAGACAAAAGAAGCAAAAATAGATGCCACACTGTATGATATGCTTCAAAAACAGGTAGTGATATAAAAGAACAATGTTTCTCACTGTAACAGAGTTTCTGATGACTCGCACGCAGTTACAGTATGTGTATATAAATGTATCTATCGAATAACCTTACTTAACAGTATATTTAATAAAACGTACTAAATTAAAGAACATCTCTGTACATCCTTAGGTCTAACACACAAAAAAAGGTGTGTGTCCGTGTGTGTATATCCTTAATCAGAGTCACATTCAGTGCTTGAAGTGGGCCGATACTCACTATATTTTACTCTTACCATACCGGCATACCGGGACTTTTCTTGCGCGTGCACTTCTCTGCCTTCTACACCGGCGGAGACGGAGTATGGAAAAGATTGAGTGCCGATACGCCAACAATGTGAACAACATGTGAATGGGAAGTACTGGTCACAGTGCTGACAAATGAGTGCTGGTAACCCTGGAGTGCACGCTTGGTGGGCCCAGACTGCAATGGGCACTCTGTAAAATATTATAATCGAGAAAGTCCCCAGTTGTATGTATAGCACTTCTTAAAGAAGTGTTACAACCCACCCCTGTCAGCCAATGTTTAGCTAGCTGTATTAGCATAGTGGTTTGAAATTAGAAAGGAAAAAATGCATCACATGTTGCCTAAGAAAACACATTTCAGTCTAAAACAGGTCAAACAGTTTTATCTGCAATAGTATAGATACTTTACAAAACATCTTGTCAAAAAATTTCCTTTCTGACCTAAAAATCATTTTTTTCTCTATATATTCCAGACTTAACAACCACCGTGTCTGATCAGGGAGGAAGTAGGTAAATACTGAAATGATCACATGACTCCTATCTTATCTCTAATTGGTGGAATTGGTGTTGTTACAATTCTCCCTATGTTACAACCATACCCGGTCTCCCCTATACGGTGAGTGTTTTATGACTATTTCTTTGCCTGGTGCAGTGACTACCATCTTTTTGCACTTCTGTTTTTGACAACATTTAACAAACAAGATATGTTAATTAATGGAGTTGCTGGTGTTTTTGCTTCAGATGGAGCCAGGCTAACAGTTTTGCCCTGTTTCCAGTCTTTGTGCTAAGCTAAGCATAGCTTCATATTTAATAGACAGGTATGAGAGTGATATCAATCATCTTCTCTAACTCTTGTCAAGAAAGTAAATATGCATTTCCCAAAATGTCAAACTATTCCTTTAAAAAGAAACTTGTACCGATATTGACATGATAGCCATTTCTCTGTTGCAGCTCAGTCTTTTCACCGGCTATCCATGTAGTCAGAAGTGCGCTTCACAGATTCTTCCATGTCAACATCCAAGACTAACACCTCTTCTTGAGGTTGCTCGCTTAACAAGCTTCAAAGCTGTCAGAGAACAGTTGACAGTGCTAGACTTACACTCGCCCCAAACAAATTTCCTTCCTCCGCTAGCTGAAAACCTCAGTGTTTCTAACCCCTCTCTCTGTAGCTGCTTCTCCTTGGAGACACACTTTTGTCGACATGAAAGTGTGACCTCCCGGCTCTTGAACTCTGACTTTCCCACTTTCACTCCTGGGATAGAGCGGAGCGCATGATGCTCCCATCCTGTCATTCTTCCAGCTGTCCTCCTACTTTCCTTTCCTCTGCTCCCCCTTTTATCCATCCCTCCCTCCATTTCCCCTTTTTTCTTCCTCTCTCAGTAACTTATCTTCTGCTTTTCCTGAATTCTTCACAGTGGTCTGGTACATGTTTCATACGTTTCCAGTGTTGTGTCAAGGAATGCTGCCTTTCCCTTCACACTTACTATTTATTTAAGGGGCATTTTTTTACTGCTACAGTTACATATAATACAATAATAAAAATCTAACTACGATAACATGGTTAAGGATGCGAGGACACACTATTTTTCTGAACTCATTACTACACATCAACACAATCACAGGTTTCTGTTTAAGACAGTGGATCAGCTGGTAAACCCAACCCCTCCTCGTGCCTCAGTTGGAAGTAATGATGACTGTGAACTGTTTTTATCTTATTTTACTGATAAGGAGGTGTCAATCGAAGCCTCTATTACCCCCTCTGCCTTTTACTCAGAGGTCCCTCACCAGCAACAAGATCGTTTTAACCAGTTTTTATCCCACTGACTTGTCTGAGATTTTATCACAAATCAGAGTGTCCTCCAGCCCACTTGATGTAATACCAACAAAGTTTTTACTGAAAGTAATGGATTCTGTTGGGCCCCATTTCATTTCTGTTTGTTTATCAGCTCCCTATCTTCTGGTTGTGTCCCTGATTATTTTACAATGGCTTGTGTGAACCCACTTTAAAAAAAACCCTGGTTTAGATCCTCCCTAATAGACCAATTTCCAAACTACCTTTTATAGCAAAGATTTTTAGAAAAAATTGTGTCCAAAAAAACTGCTCTCTGTACTGTAAAAATAACAATATATATATATATAATATATTTATTTTAAACGTGTATCTCATGCTTGTATATGGGGGCCCAGACAATAAGCAAATAGGCATAATTCATGCCTTTATATTCTGCCATTGACTCCATTTATTCTCATATTTTCTCCTTTTATTGACAGTTACAGTCACGTTTTATCAAAGAAAACTTCCGTTCTCAAATATTCAACTGCAAAAAATCTCAAGAAACGAGTAATAGGTGAAACCACCACGACAGGAACAGCAATGAGCATATTCTATCATTTTAGATAACATGCCGCTGCAAGTCGCATCATTCAATAAATGAGATTTGCATCCTGGAAAACCTCCCTGGAGTTGCTTCAAAACCTTCAACAGGGGGTGTGGTATTGCTGTAACCGTTGGCTGTTGGCAAACTACCTGGGTGGATTTCCAAACAGTTGATGAACAAGTTTCTCTGAATATAAAACACACACACGAAGGATTATTCTGAAATAATGTTCCTTTTCTTTTTTGAAAGACAATCTAACCTTTTACCTGAGGCAACAACTCACAGTGCATTTTCAAACCTGCACAGAGAGTTTTTTCAATCTCGTTTCCCTCTCTTTGTTTCTGCGTTGCATGTTCTACAGTCCTTGTCATTGCTAACTGCATGGGTTGGCTTATGAATATGGTGCCTGTCTTCCTCTGCGTTGTTCCAGGCCACATGTTTGTCTAAGTGCCTGTTTGATGAGGACACAAGAATGCAACTGAAACACCTTGAGGCAGACTTCATGGAGACTGTAATGATGGTTTCTCAACAGATCGAGACATTATGCTATTATGTCGAGCAGGGGCGAAGGCAGATGTGAAACATTCGCTGCTTAGCCCAAACCTGGGGGGGGGGGGGGTCCCGGGGCATACTCCACCTGGGATATGTTTTTTCCCATTTACAGCAGCGTTATG